AAAGTTCATTTACAAATTTAGCAATTGATAAGTAAGAAATACCAAGTAACAACCCAAATATTTGAAATGGGTCAAAACAACAAAGAATGTTGACCACATGTTTTGAAAAATTCATGTTTCGTTTCCTTTAAATTCCCTAGCCTTTAACGGGAAACAAAAACCTATAAACAGCTACAGGACGTGCACAGGAAGCAGCTGTTTGGATGAGTGGGTAGCAGTCGCGTGAGAAAGCTAAGGGCGGAAATAATAGCGATACCAGCGATGAAGGGGTGTGGGCAAGGGGAATGGGCACACACCCCTCGCCTTGTTCCCCGCACGGGCTGAGAAACTGTAATAAACGATTTTGTTCGTTCTACCGGAGTCATGAAAACTGAGGAAGTTCATATGACAAGAAGTTTAATTCAGCGACAATTATTCTGAAAGTTGTAGCAAACTTATCATTTCTTATTTACACTTTTGGTAAGTCTGAAAAAACAGGCCTACCGTTCAGTTAATAATTTCAAATCCTGGTAATGGGCAAAAGGGTTGTAGCAGCGAAGTTCTTTATCGGAGTTCGTATACAAAAGAAGCTAAGATAAAGTTTAATCCTTTATTGGCCTATTTAAGATACCTTGGAAGTTGGTTGACTTTCATGGCACGTACAATTAGTATGCGATGCAACATTTTTCCAGTCTTTTTGTGAGTATTTGATGGTCTTATTCGAGTTTAATTGTGGACATATTCTTAACAAGCACCCGGAGGGGGTACTCCCTACAATGGCCTATATGGGGAGGTTCCGGCCAAAAGGAATACAGTATTTAGGCTGCTGAGGACCCAGTTGTTCGAGGACCGATTAGCGACGGTTCTATCTAGGATATTTGAGGGGTAGAAGCTCCCCCAACAATGCCCAGCTTCTCCACCAAAAATATTGTTATCATTACAGTATATAAGTAATCATATCGGAAAAAATCATCCAGATGCGACGAGGTTAGTGCAAACACTGTGACATTTCTCAAAATTGTGTCTCAAAATGCACCAGATTGCATTTCAGCACATATTCATTTCCAAAACGACAAATCCTAGATAGAACCCTGTTAGCTCTAACCCAGGGTTAAATTTTAACGCCGGTTTCTTTTTCTTTTGTTCAAAAACATTTTCTTGGTTAGTTTTCTCCATTCTATTTAGACCATCTAATCATCAAATGGCAGACAAAAAGAAAAAAGTGAATTAGCTTTTTAAGCTTTCATATCTGAATCGAAATTTCGCACTAACCCTGGGTTATCTTAACCCTGCTGTGAACAGCATGACCCAGGTATATAAACGAGCTGAAGTATACGAAGGGGTAGGGAAAATCTATCATTTCTTTCGGTAAAAAGGCCCAAAGGGCATTTTATGGCTGTGAAAAGTCGAAAAAGCGTCCTTTAAGTTTTGTGATTTATTCACAGTTTAAAGGCCATTAATGTCGGATTACAGCAGTTAAAATGTATGCAAAGTTCCAAACTTTTAGCTAGATATGTGATAGGGGTATCATTTGTCGATAGAAGGTATACGAAAGGTGTGCCTTTCCTGTCATAAATGGTATACAAAATGGTAAGAGGTTGGACCTCGGGGCGGAGCCTACCCGTATAAACCTTTCTTTAGTACTCCCCCTTCCCCAGTGACAGTAAACTTTTTACCAGGTGATCAATTATTTCTCAGTGACTCGCAGTTCAATGAGCTCCAACAATAACAACTTAAAGTCACATATATTTTTTTGTCCCCAGTTTTCAGTCGACCAATTCATCTTACTCTCCACTTAGCTGCTGCTTTTGATTTTTTCCATCCACAGGTGAAAGCGAGGATTTGATTTCAGCGTTAATAAAAGTATCAAGAAATTAAGGTTAAGGTAAGCGCTCTATCGAAGAATTGTTGTCAACTACAATCTCCATTCTTGATATTTAAGGAGTCGACGTCAACCCTCTTAGTTCACCGCCTAACTTCCCTTTTTCAACTAACCAAACTTTATTCGATTTAATTTCTTTCTGAAAGGAGGAGAAAAGAGAAATAAAAAGCAATCAATGTTATAACTGTTGCTGTAGTTGCAATGAACCTCCTATCAATTATTCTTTTTGTAAAGAACAGTAATCTTCGCACTCGTGCCTTATACTTGGCTATAAACTTGACCGTGGCTGATATGTTTATTGGAGGAATTGCCACAGTCGTCAGTATCATAATAGTATTTCATTTCCTCCTTTGCGGTTGCGATGTTGGAAATGAATTCAGATTCCGCTTTTTTATTATTGCAAAGCAGGAATGGCAACCTTTTATTGTGATTGTCATGATCAGCATGTGGCTCCCCCTCACCTCTGTAACAGGCATTGCAGTAATTTCTTTAGATCGGATGTATGCGAGGTTTTGTCCATTTAGGCATCGCAACATCAAAAAATGGGCCTACGAAGTAACAATTGCGGGCGTCTGGATTTAGGAATAGTTTTACTGATAGATCCTGTATTGATAATTGAGGGCGACAAGAGGAGCCTGCAATCCTAATCTCCAGGTTGTAATTACGCATGCGTCGCATGTATGTAACCATTTAGCCAGCATTCGTAGAAAAGGAATGCACCTAACGCAATTTGCTTTTACCCCTTGTAATATGATCATGCGTGTTTTGACCATCTGTGGCTTGAAACTTACGCAGAGCACAGCGTTGGAGCAAAAGCGTTGGAGCAAAAGCGTTAGGGCCTCCGATCGTTCTCGCCCGCACTCCGTAACCTTTGGTTATTACTAGTATATATACGTAGATTTTTAGTCTTTCTATCATATATTTATACTTTTATATTTACTGTTCTTAGTTTTATATACACATTCTATCAATTGCATCATTTGTAAATACGCAATTCAGTCTTCTGGCTGCAAAGTATTGGTAATTTATCGATCGATCTATCTATCTATCTATCTATCTCTTATCTTGTTAAACTTCACTCAAAAAATGTGTTAAAAAAGCGTCACGTTTACGCTTGCTATAGCTATTAAAGGAGGATGACAAATTAAGGAAAGGGGACTATTTCAATACTGGGAGTGAGCGTAATTCAGTCAAGTTTATTTGAACCATTTTCAGTTAAAGTTTATCCTTATGATGATTTAAGACGGAGATCATTTCAGGGACGGTGCAGGAGCAATCTGTTTTGCGTTAAAGAAAGTCTTGAGGTCAGTCAGTCCAGGGAATGAATCCGTTGCAAAGTTGAGCAAATTTTTCAGCTATCTTTATTCAAGACAGCTTGAACCAGCTCAATATTGTTGGAAAGGTAAGCGCTGTGTTAGAAGTTGTAGTGAGAAAAAACAACGATAAGCCTTTAAAGCAATTAAACATTTCCCAATGAACAGCAAAGTGCTCGCATGATCGCGAAGTCATCTTGCTAATAGTCATCGCCATCACACTTAAACGTCTCCCTGAATTTTGTCTTTCTTTTAATGGGAAGCTTAGATTCGCCGTACCTTGCAGAAAGAAGTTTTTAGAAGCTACAGTTTTAATATTGTGTGTTCTTTTGTAGCTAGAAATTTCGAAATATCTTCATTTTTTTAAGTTCTGAATTATAACCTAGAATGTTGAGCCTCTAAAAGTTCATCAAAGGATAAGTGAGAAAATACCAAGTAACAACCCAGACATTTGCAATAGAACAACACTACAAAGGATGCTGACCACATGTTTTGAAAAATATATGTTTTGTTTGCTTCAAAGTCCCTACCCTTTAACGGGAAAATAATAAAATATAATTGTGGTTAAAAGCCAATAAACGGTTACAGCCGGAAGTGGACAGAAAGCAGCTGTTAGCAGTGAGTGGTTAGCAGTCGCGTGTAACTCAGCGACAATATCTTTCTGCAAGTTTCGGTAGTCTAACAAGCCGACCGTTTGGTTAATAACTTTAAATCCCGGTAATGGGCAGAAGGGTTGTTTGCAATAAATACCTCTTATTAGCCGAGTTTTCGGTCCGTACTGTAAATTACGGACCGAGCATTTTCTTGAAAAATGTTTGTCCGTATAGCAAGTTACGGACCGCAAATTGACCAATCGCATGGCGAAAACAGACTCAGCCATATAATAAAATTCGTTATCGGAGTTCGTATACAAAAGAAGTTTAGATGAAGTTGAAATATTCCTTGATTGGCTGATAAATACTTATTCAAAAATATTTTTCGAGCTACGATAACTTGAAAGTTGGGTGACTTTCATTGGCAGAATAAGCGTGTTTTATTCTTGAAACATACCCCGGGGGTACTCCTTGCAATAGCCTAAAGGGGGAGGCTCCGCCCAAAAAGAATACCTTTAATATTTAGGCTTCTGGGCTAACCCAGGGTAAGGCTTTTTGGTCAAAAGCATTTTCCTGGGTCATTTTCTCCATTCTTTTTAGAGCATCTAATCATTAAATGGTAGACAAAAAGAAAAAAGTGATTTAGCTTTTTTAAGCTTTCATATCTGAATTGAAATTTCTCACTAACCCTGGGTTATCTTAACCCTGTTTTGAGCAACCTGGCCCAGGTATATAAACGAGGTGAAGAATATGAAAGGGTAGGGAAATCTATCATTTCGGTCTGTAAAAAGGACCAAGGGCTAACATGTGCAATTTATGGCTGTGAAAAAGTCGAAAAAACGTTCCAGTTTTGTGATTTATTCATAGTTTAAAAGACATTGGATTACAGCAGTTCAAATGTATGCAACGTTCCAAACTAGGTGCGTGATAGTGGTACCATTTGTCGATAGAAGGTATGCGAAAAGGGTACCTTTTCTGTCATAAATGGTATACAGAATGGTAAGGAGTTGGACTTCGGGGCGGAGCCTACCCTTATTAACCCTTCTTGCGTACTTTCCCTTCCAATTGACAATAAAATTCTACCAGGTGATTAATTTCTTCTCAGTGACTCGTAGTTCAGTGAGCGCCAATAATAACCGTTGAAATTTACATATTTTTTTTTCCCGTAAGTTTCTTGTCAAGCGACTCAACGTACTCTCCCGTCAGCTGCTGCTATTGATTTTTTCTTTTCATAGGTTAAAGCCAAGAGTTTGCTTCAGGGTTAACGAAATTATCAAGAAACAAAAGCAATATGCGTCTTGCAAGAAATTAAGGTTAAGGTGAGCTCTCTATCGAAAAGTTGTTGTCAATGTACAATCTCCATTCTTGATATTTAAGAAGTCGACGTCAACCCTCTTAGTTCACCTTTAACTTACCTTTTTCAACTAACCAACCTAAAAAAACCCTAAAACCTAAAACCTAAAATTTATGTGCCTTTAACTTTTACGTTTACGCGCGGCCTTCAATACATTGCCTCTATTTTTTTTACGCGAGTAAAAAATACGTGTGTACTTACCTGACTTACGTCAATTTTACCAAAGCCGTAGCTAGCGTTTTGGAGCCTCCAAACTTGAAAGTTTTCTGGGCGATGACACCCCGAGACCCCCCTAAAAGGCTCGTGCCTTCGGCACCCGCGGTAATGCCCCCCCCGCCCAATAGCTACGGCCCCGTTCAGGCGTCAGCGGAAACCCACCTTATAGAGGTTGCTTGGTTACATTGACCGCGAGGTCATTCTGCGAACGCGAAAAGGAGAAAAGAAAGTAAGGGACTGTACATGTTACTTCCCTTTCTCTCCCTGTTAAAACAGGAGAGTGATACCTGCAGAGGAGATCACACAATACCGGACGAATTTTTCGACCGCCTGAAAAATTTGACCGGACACTTGTTTGATTTCTTTGTAAGGTTAAGGTAGTTCCGTGTGAACAGAAAACCTAAACGCGTAAATTTGAAAAATCGTCCGACGCAGTGTGGTGATACCCGCGATGAACAGGAAAGCGCGCGCATCCCTTACCTAGTTCCCGGGACAAGCTGAGAGGCTGTAATGAAAGATTTTGTTCGTTCTACGTATTGGGGTCATTAAAAAGGAAGTTCATATTGACAACAAGTTTATGTCTGCAACAATTGTTCTGAAAGGTTTGGCAAAATTTATAAAAAAATTGTATCTTGTTTACACTATGGGAGGTCTGAAAACAGGCCTACCGTTCGGTTAATAACTTGGTTAATCCTTGCAATGGGCAGAGGGGTTGTAGCAGCGAACTTCGTTATCGGACTTCGTATACCAAAGAAGCTTAGATGAAGTTTCTTCCATTGGCTTATTCATTCAGAGATATTTTCGATAACGATAACTTGGAAGTTGATTGACTTTTATTGACACAATCAGTGTGCGATACGATACAGTCTCTTTGTGAATATTTCATGACTTATTCGACTTTAATGGTGGACATGTTCTTAAAACGTACCCGGGGGGTACTCCCTACAGTGGCCTATACGGGGAAGCTCCGCCGAAAAAGAAAACCTTATTTAGGCTTCAGGTATATAAAAGAGTGAGGATTTACTTGCTGAAGTATATGAAAGGGTAGGGAAATCTATCATTTCGGTAGACTGCAAAACAGTCCGTATTTTTGCGTATTCAAGTACGCGCGAGCAGTCAAACAAAAGGTCTGGAATGAGGCCGAAAACAGAGAGCGGGACTGGGGAGAGACGCTAAAAATACGGTTTTTTTTCTCTCGCCTCACACGCCCAACGGGCATGTGAGACTCGCGCGCTTCGCGCGCGTAAGACTCTTACGCTACGCTTTACCGATTTCTTTACTGATTTTGAGAAAAAAACCCGACTGTTTTGCAGTCTATCATTTCGGTCTTTCAAAAGGCCCGAAGGCCTAACAGATGCATTTTATGGCTGTGCAAAAATCGAGAAAACGTTCTAGTTTTGCGATTTATTCATATTTAAAGGACATTGGATTACAGCAGTTAAAATGTATGCAAAGTACGCCTACGCGTATAAACCTTTCTTGAGTACTCCCCCCTTCCCAATGATGATAAACTTTCTACCAGGTGATCAGTTACTTCTTTGTTGTAGTTCAATGAGCGCCAACAATACCAGCTGAAAATTCACATATATTTTTTTGTCCTCAGTTTTCAGTCAACCTATTCATCTTTATCTCCCCTCAACCGCTGCTTTTGACTTTTTCTTTCCACAGCTGAAAGCAAGGGTTTTATTTCAGCGTTAACAAAAGTATCAAGAAATTAAGGTTAAGGTGAGCACTCTATCGAAGAATTGTTGTCAATGTACAATCTCCATTCTTGATATTTAAGGAGTCGACGTCAACTCTCCTAGTTCACCTCCTAACTTTCCTTTTTCAAATATCCAAATTTTATTTTATTTTATTTTTTTTCTGAAGGGAGGAGAAATTAATAAAGAGAATTAAAAGAAAACAATGTTCTCCAGGAGGATCCCTTCAGCCGAGTGCAGCACATGGTATGCTGTATCCCTTACTATAAATGTTGCTGTGGTCTCAGTGAACCTCCTATCAATTATTGTTTTTATAAAGAACAGTAATCTTCGGACTCGTGCCATGTACTTGGCTATAAACTTGACGGTTGTTGATATGTTTGTTGGAGGAAGTGCCACTTCCGTTATAGTATTGCTTTTCCTCCTCTACGGTTGCGGAGCTGGAAGTACAGTTTTCATCTTTATTGCTGCGCGGGAATGGCCACCTATTTTGCTTGTGTTTTTCATGATCGACACCTGGGTTTCTCTCACCTCTTTAACCGGCATTGCAGTAATTTCGTTAGATAGGATGCATGCGACGTTTCGTCCATTCAGGCATCGCAACACTGAAAAATGGGTCTACGGGGTAACAATTGCGGGCGTCTGGATTTTATCTGCGATGATATTTATTCCCTCTCCGATAATACGTCTCTATGGGAACTTGCATCAACAGTGGCAATTGGTATTTGCTTTCTACTTATGGCTGTCATATGGTCTCCTTTGCCTTTTTGTTATCTTTGTTTCTTACACCTCCATTGCTTTAAAATTTTGGTGTGGAACCCGTCCTCCGTCCCATGGTGCGGCCAATAGACAAAGAAAACTGACTGTGACATTATTCATAATGACCATTGTATCTTTGCTGCTGTTTTTACCATTTCCGGTATATACTTTATCTACAGATAGGTCTTTCAACCTGACATTTTTACGCTTGAGATTATCTTTTACTCTTCTACACCACACAAACTCGCTTGTTAATCCCATAATTTACACAATCAGAATTCCAGAGTTCAGAAGAGCTCTCCTGATATTATTTAAACGTCGACAAAGACAAAATGTTGCTATTCCTCCTCAAGCCCGTTAAAACCAAAAGGGAATTCCTGGGACGTCCGCACATTTTTATCGATTGTTTAAACACCAACAACATGGTCCCCCGCGCGACTGCCTCAAAGCAACAATGCAGAAGATTGTTATGGCGACTGTTGAATTTCGTCGTGAAAACACTGAATAAAAGTTTGCGGAGCTCTCCGGACACCAAATTTTAAGAGTTTAATTGGATTAAAAATAACTTTGATGAAATTCACATGTCCCAACTAGAACCATAATAGGACTTAGTACCAATCAAGGGCGTGACTGGGCGCTCTTTGTCCTTTTTAGGTAACACTTGATTTTAAGTTCATAATGGTAACAAGCGTGAAAAAACAAGAGGGAGGAGGGAGAAATGTGCTTTAAATAAGGGAGAAGGGACAAAATAACTTTTAAGTTTTGTTATTGACTTTAATTAATTAAGACCTTTTCTTTTACTTTTGTGGTTGTTGTACGTGGCCACAAGTTTTGCCTCTTTGAGCTACGTAATTGCTGCGGTATGTGCAAATGAAGTTCCAGCAATGAGGTTGTACATATTAGGGCTAGCTATGATCACACTATACTGGATAGCTTTTGTGCCGCCACGAAAATCATACCAGATAGGGATTCGGTTGACACACGTGAACGGTGATTTTGACGCGATTTCAATGACGGAGCGCTCACAGGTGTTTATACTTTGCGGGAAGGTTTGTCGTGTCGGCTTACTTTTGACTGCTTTTAATTTGTTTGCCATCTTTGTATGTATTATTTAGCAATCCTTTTGAGATGAAATAGTCAGGGGACGTATTTGAAGCTGTTTAAATCACTTACAGCAAGTGTTTTAAAAATTGAACCACTATTCAGCCAGCATAAAGTATGCTTCATAAACCGGCAATTTCCGAGTTCCAAAAGCTCTCACTTTTCAAGCAAGCGAGGCTAAGTTTAAACTTCTTTTTTTCGATAATGAGTTTAGCTTGCATGAGAATATCAAATCATTTTCATCCAAATCATTTCGCTTTGAAATAGAGGCTTGGAGCAACTCGGAAATGGCCGATTAATATTATACATCTACATTCAGAATTAGTTGTTATCAAAGCTCTTGTTGTTATACACGGTTTCAGTGTAAATTACGTCTTTTTTATTTCTACTTTCTGAAGCACTACTACGTATGTAGACTGGAAAACAGTCAGTTTTTTTTTTTTTTCATAATTTGTTTTGCAAAGACGCGAAGGGAAGGCATGAGATTTTCGCAAAAAGCGCGAGAGACTGACACACCCTTAGGCCCAGTCCCACGCGCGCGAGCCTCACACGCCCTGTAAAGCCCAGTCTCACTCTCCGTTTTCACCCTCTCGCTCCAGACTTTTGGTGTGACCGCTCACGCGTGCGTTCTTAACCTCGGCAAAAATACTAGCTGTTTTGCAGTCTGAATACGTATGTGGCCATTGATAAAATATAACAGAGTATGTAAAATGAAGCCAAGATCATGTTGTTTTATACACCTTAACATCTACTTTATAGGGCTTGTTAACTGTTGTTAGACGTTCTAAAATGTCTGTATCAGTAAAGTATGCCAATTTAGGGTATTCAATAAACATACTATTTAAACATGATTTTACTACTGGTGTTATCCGTGATCATGACTTTTTAATAGATGGTTTTCACAGTGACGTTATCTAATTGTAAAGTCAAAATAGCGAGGTTTTACGAATTCTTATTTACACTAGGTTGAAGATAAACAAAAAGTAAATCTTTGTACAAGTTTCCATTCCCGTAGCATTTTTCATTTTGAAAATACACCAATTTGAACTTCCGAATTTTCACAGTGCGTGACATCAAAATAGGAATGCTGTCTCGTTGAAAAAAGAGCGTCTCCTCTTGATTTTCAGCAGTATAACGATTTTAAGTATGAGAAGACATGTTCATACGCACGTACGGCTAGTTCTTGAGTGAAAAGAAAGAGCTTTTAAAGAAAAAATAAACTCCAGATGTTTTTGTTGATTTCCGGCGGCCATATTGGTGGACCAAAGCGGTCCACCAATATGGCGTCTCCATACAAAGCTCTACAAAGTTGCGTGAAACGTTTCGGCAAATAACTCACAAACTGTGGGCCACAAAGACCCGAGACTTGGACAAATTGTTTATATATTAGTCTTTCATAACATTTCATCTTCTTGGCTTCCTCTACAAGATGGTTTCCAATTTATTTTTCCGTTGCGTGACAGTGAAAGCGATCTATAGCTTAGGTCACTGGGAAAGGAGAGAACATTACGAAATGGGAATAAGACACTTACACTGTAGTATGGAAATTTTTTTTCTTTGTCAGGTAACTCTGAAAAGCGCGTAATTTTTTGTAAAGTTGAAACATAATTTTTTGTCAATTCTAACACTATTACTCCTTTTATTGTCATGAAAGACATTATTCATCGTTGTGTGGTGTATAAAGGGTCCGGTTTTATCGTTGTCGTACGATTATGACAGGGATATACGCCATCACGAACTCAACTCTCAGCCGTTTCTGAACACGCCAATAAGAACGGACATTATCCTCTTTGGGATGAGGTTAAGTTTTCTGACCGAGACCCTCACTGGTACTCTGACTCGTGTCTCGTAATGTTAAAAAGGGTATAGTCACGTAAGACTTCCCCCTAACAACATTTGACATTAACAGGGACAATGGAATTGCGATTGTTGATTAGTGGATGCCCTAAGATTAGATAAACAAACAACCGTTCAGTATCAGTGCGGATCACTGAGGGAACAGGCTTTTCCTCTAATAATGTCAAAACTTCTTCGGATCGAAGCCCAACAACGTAACCTTTATTGAAATCAAAGTTCTCTGCTGACCAGTCATCGGTTTTCAATTGACTGCAGGCTTAGTTCCATACTTAAGTTTGCTTCTCGCTTTTTAATATAGCGAATGCTGAATTATTTAAAAAAGGCATTTGTTAAAAGAATCCTCGAGAGCTTCCCTTTTGGCCTTGGCTAAATCTGCATATTATTTGCTTACTGTGAATAAAGGGAAAAAAAGCCGGAATGCAATTAATCTAGCCTAAACCGTTTCTTTAATCAATTTATTTAGGAAAGTGGGAAGTGTGAGTCTATCATTACCGGGGAAAATGCAAATCCTTTAACTTAAATACAGTCATCTTTATTTACGGTAATTTCAACAGCATTTTGACTCAGGACTGGACCCACTCTTCAGCTTGATCATAAGTTTAAAAATGCTAGTTGTGAGAGAATACACCGGTATCTATATAATATTTCTGGAACCTTTCTCTTCAATCTCACACATGTCCAATATACACAAACGGATACGATTCGTCAAACTGATGGTCCATTGGTACCAATGGTACGATTGGTTCCAATAGAAAAGCACCCTATTCCAATGGTTCCGTTGGTGCATATGCATCTAATTAAGGGGACTTAGATAATAACAAATGGTCTACCGGAAAGCCGTTTGTCGTAGTTCCGCTTCTGCCGTACAGCTGCCTTGTTCAAATGACGCCTGGCCAAATCATGCGCACTAGCCAATCTCTTTTGAACAGCTTGTGCATAGTCCGTCTTGAGTGGTGATGCATCAGGCGGTCTCTCAGTTATGACATCCAGGGGAACCTCCAGTTCCCTCCCCAACATCAAGAGGTTAGGTGAAACCCCGGTTGACTCATGAACAGCACATCGATAGGCCATCATGCAAGTTGGAAGTTGTAGATCCCAGTCTGTCTGGTCTTGCTGGATCTTCCCACGTAACATTTCAATGAGCGTCCTGTTAAAACGCTCCACCTGTCCGTCAGACTGGGGATGCAGGGGAGTGGTGCGGGTCTTCTCAATGTCTAACAGCCTGCAGACTTCAGCAAACACCTTTGACTCAAAGTTAGTTCCTTGGTCGCTATGAAGCTGACGGGGTACACCGAAGCGACAAATGAACTCGCTCACAAGCTTCTCTGCAACAGTGGTGGCCTCCTGGTTGGGTATTGGATAACTCTCAGTCCATTTAGTGAAATAGTCACTAACCACGAGTATAAATTTGTTCTTTCGTGGGGTTTCTGGCAGTGGGCCAAGAATGTCAATCGCGATTCGTTCCATGGGAGCTCCCACCACGTACTGCTTTAACGGAGCACGACGTTTGCGTCCCCAGGTTTTCTTAGACCCACAGACATGGCACCTGCCGACCAATCTGTGAACTGCTGAAGTAAGTCCTGGCCAGTAATAACGAGATTGAAGGGCGCCTAGGGTCTTTCGTATACCACGATGACTCGCAGTCGTATGACTATGATGAGCTTCAAGGGCAGCCTGTCGAATACTCTCGGGAAGAATGACCTGGTCAATAATCTGATCACCTCCATCACTTTCCCATGTGCGGCAAAGTACGCCGTTTCTGAAGACCAGCCGGTCCCACTGTGACCACAAGGTCTTCACAGCACAACTCTGAGGCGACACATCTTCCCACAATGGTTTTTTTTTTGCCGGCTTCCTTCCAACCAATAATAACCTTGAGATCAAAGTCAGCTTCCTGTTGTTCCCTCAAGAAAGTTGAAGTCCAGGTTGGTTCTAACTTGACAGTGGCACAACGAGCACCAACAGGTTCTTCACAATTCACAGGTTGTTTGTTGTCCTGGCAAGGGACATGCATCACAGTCTGAACACCCACATCAACAGATGACGCTCGCTCCTGTGACTTCCAACCCTTACACCACTTACAACGGACATCGCATGGTCTACGGGAAAGTGCATCAGCATTCAGATGTCGCTGTCCTGGTCGATACTGGATCTCGAAGTAGAAAGTACTCAAGTAATCAATCCAACGTGTAAGCTGTCCCTCGGGATCTTTGGCCTGGACAACAAAACGCAAAGGGGCATGATCAGTTCGAATGCAGAATCTTGTACCTTGTTGGTAATGCCGGTGTTGCTTAACAAACTCAACGATAGTTCCTTTCAGACTTGGACAATGTCCGACTTGCAAACGCAATGGGTTTTTAGACCCCGTCCTGAAACTGTGACAACACTGCCCCAATGCCTTGGTCTGACGCATCGGTGTCTAGCACAGACTTTCCCTCCCTAGTAGGGTAGGCTAGGACTCTACCGGACGTAAGTAAACCCTTCAGGCTGTCAAAAGCCAGCTGACATTGCTCTGTCCACGCAAATTCCGCCTTGGCTTCCGTTAGCTTGTACAACGGCTTAGCTATGGTCGAGAAATCAGGGATGAATCGGCGGTAATAAGAGGCAAGTCCAAGGAAACCTTTGACCTCCGTGCTATTTTCTGGGGTGGGCCAGGTGCGAACTTGCTCCACCTTTTCAGGGTCTGCAGCAATGCCCTCTTCCGTGACCACATGTCCGAGGTACGAAACCCGTTTCTGGAAGAGAAAACACTTCTTTGGCTTAAGTTTTAGTCCTGCCCTGGCTAGTCGCTCGAACACCTCTTTCAACCGCTCTATTTCCTCTTCAAACGTGCGTCCCATAACTATCACATCATCAAGATAGATCAAACAAATCTTCCAATGTACGCCCTTCAAAACAAGTTCCATCAATCTGGCAAAGGTGCTGTGTGCGTTGCAGAGGCCGAAAGGCATCACGGTCCACTCATACAGGCCGCTCGAAGTTACGAATGCTGCCTTCTCCTGGGTGCCCGCATCCATCGCCACTTGCCAATAACGTGAGGCAAGATCCAAAGTTGAGAACCATCGGGAACCACTCAAAGCAGCAAGAGAATCATCAACCCGAGGCAAGGAGAAGGCATCCTTGATCGTCACTGCGTTAAGCTGGCGGTAGTCCACGCACAGCCTTTGGCTACCGTCCTTTTTGGTTGCTAACACAACCGGAAAAGACCAGGGGCTGAACGATTCCTTCACCTTGCCCTGCTGTAGTAGGTAAGTGACTTGTCGTTCTATCTCATCATGTTTCCACGGTGAAGTTCGCCGGGGAGGAATTCGGATTGGAAGA